TAAAATATTTTACCCTGGCAACTAGAAATGTGACACAAAAGCATACTGGGGAAACCATATTATCTGAGATTGATAGTATTGAAGAGGAGTTCCATTTATAAGTCAAAATAATACAAATAATAACTGATGCTGGGGCCAATCTCAAAAGAAGCGTCAGATTGATTATGAGCATCATTATGCTTCGTGGACTTCATAATTTGGATATAGTTGATAGCATAAAAAAAGTAGCCAGAATTGATATTCTCATTAAAAAAAAATTAGAAAATATTTTCGGCCCTCAGATATCGAGTAGCTGATTTGGAATGTAAAATTGAGGCAGAGCATCGTAAATTTCTGCACTTCTACAGGTCATATCTTGGATATTGATGATTCTGATCCATACTTTGATGACCATTTTCATATGCCTGATTAGGCCGATAATAGAAACGGCATTGTACCAACCAATTTAATTAATACAAAAACTTTAAAATTAATTTGCCCTACCCGCTGGCACAGAATATTAATTATGCTAGAAAGTGTTAGCAGTGTAAACAAAATTCCTATAAATAATGTTCTAAATAAAATAGAAACAATCTTTAAAACTCTTTAATAATGACTGGAATATGATAGCTTTACGCAGTATTAAATCCATTACGAGAGTTGGTGGAATTTCTTTCCTCCCAAACCGAACGCCGATAAAAAAATTAAAAAATACCGCCAAAATATGAATAATTAAATATTTATTTAAAATTTATTATCAGATTATTTTAATAATTACATAAAAAAAATCGTTATATAAAAATCAATCCTTGTTTTTTTTAAGCGGCATGGTAGATCGAGATTTACATCCAGATTGAGACACAGAAAGATAGTTCTATTTCCAGCCTTTTCCTCAACCAAATTCTTGCTAGCTAGGCGTGTTCAAAGTGTTGCCAATGGTGTTGTCAAATTAACTAGTTACCGGTTACAGTTCAATGCAACTATTTATAAAATAGAATCAAAATATATTAGGAATTTTACAAAATTAGGGTCATTATTCATCTGCACCAGCTATTAAAAATCGGAAAGGTGGGGGTCAGATATCCATAAAATTTAATAATGTTCAAAATCGATATTTCCAATGATTAGATCTGTACAATCATTCTAAATTTAAAGATTACTTAAACCTAATTCAAATTGCAAAACTATTCACACCTTGTTATGGAACTACGATAACTTTACAGTTATCCGCCATACCTTAATTTGAAATGACAATAATGGCGCCTAAAATAAAGATATATACTCTCAAACCATAAATTTTATTTTTTGCATTTTGCTAACTAGCTCTAATGAACCCAATGATTAACAAATATTTATAAGCTTAATTCCTTCCTATTGCATGATTTATAAGCTTAATACATAATATTCCTATAATAAATTTTATAAACCAATTACTCCTGTTTAATTAATTTAAGAATATTAAGAAAATTAAAAGCTAAACCATTAAATATATCTTTCAACCTATTTTTATAATCTTTATTTAATTAGTCTGGTTTGAAAAAATAAATATTTCAAATTAAAAATTTATTATGATTCACTAAATAGTTTTCGGTACATATACATTTGACATTTGGGTTTCACGTTAATGACTTCACTATAAAATTCGATATTATTGATTTGCAATAAAAGTTTCGATGCCACGTATTCCCTCTAAAAAGTTTGCTGTTGGGTTTATAAAAATTCGCTATAATTAATTCGTAATATAATCTTCGGAATGTGGATTGCGATAAAAGTTTCGTTATAAAATCCTAATAAACATTAACAGTAAAACTTTTCGCGAACTTCTCTTTATTCAAAATTTCATTACTTTGACATGTTTTTGTCAAAAATATATCAGAAATCATAAGAGAACACTAATAAAAATAAGTCTTTAAAGGGAACCTGGTCAAATGGCGGGCAAAAGCTAGCCGAAGACCCTATAAATGGAATGGGGAAGCCCCAAATGAGAATAAGTTCATTGATAAAATATGAAGATGAGACCGCAGCATCGCCAAACCCCTGGGACATAGATAACAATGAACATATATATGACATATTCTAGAATGCTCTATTTTGGGGGTGAAGATTAAATATAGTTTTTAGAATTATAATATTTCTTCTATATTAAATTTCAAACTATAATATATTTTTATAATCATGTTATTATATTTTTTTTTGTCTTTATGAGATAACGATTTTTTTTTACGAAAATATTCTTAAGCCAAATTTAAGATTTCATATATAAATAAAAAACTTTACATAATAGATGACATGATAATCTTATATGTTTTCTTAAATCCTTATTGAGTGTCATAAAAAAAAATAAAATTCGTAAATGTTGACCAAAAGCAAGTGATTTAATTGGAAAAATAAATCAGGGAGAGAAATTTTTTCCCCTTAAATGGGCCATTTAACAGTGAAGTCGGGCAGAATGTATAATACTTTAGAGGTTTTAACTTTAACTCTTCAAAACAATTTATATAACCTGAATAGCGAATATTTCTATATATTCATGTACACTTCAACATCATGAAAAGAAAAATGTGTTAACAAAAACAATCTTGCAGTTCATTGCAAAGCATTGAATAATTAAAATAATGCGCAATTAAATAGTCATTAAAAAATTTATATATCATTATAGTTAATAGTAAAATTTATTATAATTACATAAATTAATAATTATCAGACATCTACTCAGTTGGCCAGAATTATTGAAAAATTTTTTGGCCCTAGTTTTATATTTTCAGGCCCGGCCTGGCCCGTATTATTTTTTATAAAATTCTAAGTGTTGAAATTTTTATTTGGCGAAATTTATCTTATTTTGTAATATAGTATGTTTGAACCGACTAAAAATAAAAATGATTATTAGTCTTCTAAATTAATAACATTTTATTTATCTAGTATACTAGAGTATATAAGAACAATTAAAATTATTTAACTAAAAATAAAAATTATCATAGTGAATAACTTACAAATAATTTTACTTTTCTTTTATTAACTAGTTAAGTATTTTCTAACGAGATATTGGTTTTGTAATGGAATATAAGTGAATGAATTTGATATATAATTCTATAATACAATTTTTAAATATATTATATTTAAAATATCCGGCCCGGGTTTATAAATAAACCGGACCGGGTATAATAGAAGAAAAATTTTTCCCCGTCAAGGTTTATTAAAAAAATTTATTATTTTACACCCTTTAGCCCGGGTGCTGGTCTCTGATAATTATACAATATATTTTTTTACCAAAATATTTCTGGGTACTGAATTAAGGTTAGGCTTCTAAAGACATTTGAGATTTGTTTCAAATTTAAAATGAATGTGAAAAAAATATTTTTTTTTATTGAAATGTATATACTAAAAATTCATCCATTTTGTTATTATCTTCATGATTATTAAAATATCATTTCAAGTATTTTCAAATAATTTTATTCTTAGCGATGATATAACAAGAACCACATTTTTTGGGTATTGGTTCTAGGCCTAGTTCTTAATTTTTAGGTTCTACCTGGTATTTCGATTATTTGAGAACCCTATCACTGATAAGAGAATTTTTATTTCTTACTTTTTTTTGTACATATAAATCAGACACACAGATGTGGAATTTTCATATTCCGCCTAAATTTGAAATCCCATCTCCGGCCCAGCCAGCCAGGTTTTTAATTTTTATTTAGAATCGAATTTTTAAAATTTTGTTAATCATAAATAATTTCGAAAATAAATTGAAAATTTGACGAATGAATGTTAAATTATATTTACACATCATTTTTTTCAATTGAAATAATTTAAATTTATTTTTAAAAATTTGGTCCAACACGGGTGTACATTATTTTTAATTTCGTGCAATCTGATATAAATAATGGTATTGTCTGTAAAATATTTTTAAAGGAAATTGATCATAAGCGGTCAAAATGATAGATTAGGAACTAAACACGAGAATCAAGAATTTGAGCATCATTATGTTACATACAAGTTATTTTTTGTGAATCAAAAATTTTAACTTTTTATAAATGATCAATCAATAAAATAAAATCAGAACCAATAAAAAAATGTAAAATATATCTCTCAAATGTTAATTTTTTGTTAATAAAATCATAATTAACTATTTTTTCCTCATTAGTTATTATGATCTTAATCATAAAAATTTAACCATTATTAAGAAGGCCAAACATTTGTTTTCAAATTCATTCATAATTTCATATCCATTTTTTTTTAATAATCATACATTACAGATTTTATTAGAATGATAGTATGTAATTTTATTAATTAAGGTAATTATTTTTTTATTATAATTATTCATCTTAATATCATATACAAAATGAATGTTTACAATGAAATATTTATTAATTAAGATATGTAGAAATGATATAGGAGAGGTAGTCTGATATAAAATTGATGTTGGAATCCATTCATTAATGAAAGTTTTATCAATCAGAGAATATATAAAGTTGTTATAAATAAGATTCAACTAGGCATAAATACGATGCGATGATGTTTAATTATCAAAAGGTTATTAAAAATCAATATAAATTAAATAAATTTTTACAGATAATTATTCTTTTTATTACAGTAATTTAATTAGCTATTATTTTTCCGAATTTAAAAAAAAATAATTTCATAGATATCAGCAAAACGATGTGTTTATTACAGTCATATCCACCAATCTAACAACTTTGAAAATGTTACTCAATCATTCTTTAAGAAATTAGGCTCGCACATTTGTAAATGCACATAAGAACCCCATAAAAAATGTTTTGAGGGAGAGGTTTGCTATAATTCTACTAATTACATAAGTTTCAACGTTGGCCTCCTTGCGAAAAAAACCATAATAGATTTTTTTTTATATATAACTATTATATTTTATAATCTCTTATCTCTTTTCATTAATTATTTTAACTAAATATATTATAATACTAATAATTCTGGGAAAAATATTAAGATTGTTTTTGACAATTGTTACATATCATATTTACAATTTTTATTTAATAATTATAAAGATAATTTACGCATTGTAATAATTATACCATAATATAAATTAGATAATAATAAAATTTATAAATTAATTACAATCATCATTTTTGTATAGTGAATATATTTGATTTAAAGTTAAATTAAAGCCTTCCTTGCCTTTATAATCAAATCTATCTTTTATGTGATTGGCCAAATTTATAATTTTTTCTTCGATTGTTCCTTTTATTATGAATTTGTGAACGTAGGTTATCCTTTTTTTAAAAAAAAAATGTTCAATGTTGATAAATCAATATAGAAGTGTACAAGTTTTTGTAATATTTACAAAAATGTTTATTTATAAATGGAATGACAACTCAGGCCAAAATTAAGAAAATGTCTTACCCTTTCATTCACTATGCCAAAATATTCCGTTTTGGGGCAACCTTTTGTATGATAATATAATTAATCTAACCCAACTTAAAGCTTTTTAAAATATTAAAATTTTTTGATATAAAATGAAAAATTGGTTATTATCCATCTTTAAAAAAATACGTCATAACAAATAAATATGATCCATTTTTTCTGTGCGTGTAAGGGTAAATGGAAATCAAAAATGGGGGAACATCAAGTAAATCCTAATTTTAGATTAGGCAGGGTGAGGTTAGAGTCAAGTAAAATTATATATAACATCAATTATATAATAATCATTTTCGGTATGAGCTCTAGTCACGAACATTTATGAAACATATTTAAAATTTTTATTTGAGAGTAAACTTATTTTGCCCGATCCTATGGACCCTATTAACAGCTTGAGCCTCGATAGATTGATTTAAAACGGGTTCCATCAAAAACACATGAGTTGCTTCCGTTATATTTAAACCTTTGGCCCCATGATTAAAGGGAATTAATAGAATATTCGTGTCGTTGCTCTCTTTAAATCTGGCTAAGTTAGTCTTAGTGGTAAAATATGATATAGACATGCATATTAATATATCAAATTTTAAAGGCGTTGAGTGTAAAAATATTATTCAAAAATCTTGCACTACCCCCATCCCATCTTTAAAGCATTTTCTTCAAAAATAAGTATAATTGACAAATTATAATTTTGTTATAATTTGATATTTAATTTTAAGGCTTCAGTGACAAGGATTATAGGTAATTTTTAATAATTTTTTTTTGAAATTAAAACCTCAAAATCTTTCTTGGTAAAAAGGTGTGTGTGTTTCAATTCATTGTTATCCAAGGCATGTTCTAGTATGATCAAAATTTCTTTCCAAGACGAAAATATGAGACTTTTGACTGCGGACTCGACCCTTTGAATTTGTTTGAGCTTGGCTACAATGCTGGTAATTTTAGTTGAATAACTTCCCTTATATTTTATATAATTAAATTAGCAATTAAAAGCTCATCTTTTAAATTCATCTGGCTCAGATTGCAAACAACTATATATTTTATTTGCTTAATATTATTAAAAATTTATGTAAAATTAACGTATTATAGGTAGAACTAATGTAGCTGCATCTTTACTTTTTTGAGAGCGAATATGATATAATATATAAACTATTTCATTAATAAAATGCAACAAAAAATGATAAAGTGCACATTATAATTTTTGTTTTATAAATCAGAATATTTTTAAAAAGTAACTCGCTAAATATAATGAATTTTTTTGACATCACTGCACAACTCATAATATGATATCTAAAAACAAACTTTAATTTCTTCATTGCTTCCGGATTTATCGGTGTTGGCTTTCGAATCGTTCACCCAAGCTATTTCGTTAACCAGTGTGCATTCCCTACAAATTGGGCACTTTAATTTCTTGGCGCTGACTAAATTGTGTTTTTGTTTCGTGAAAGAATTGACGCATTCAATGCACAGGCTATGGCCACATATTAAGACGTTCCATTCGAAATCAAGCGATTTTAAGCATACTGGGCAAATCATTTGATGATCTGATTCGAGATTGTTGGAGGTTTTTGATGTGGATGTAGTTTTTTCTTCAGTATTCACTAATAATTCATTGTTGAGGGGAATATGTTGCATAGACTGTTTGGAAATATTGCGCTATGATAGAAGTATCAAAATTATTTATATTCAAACATGAGCCTTATTTCAAACTAATTTTTTCTCTTAAATTAGCAAATTATTAAGTTTATATAATTATCAAGAATATAATCCTTGCACAAATTTAATAAAATTGACAGATAAAGAACTCAAATTAGACAAGTGGAGATTATTTAATATAATGAACTTCTATGCTATCGAAAATTATTGGAGATTTGATTCGAATTACTTTTAAGAAATTGACAATTAATAATATCAAATTATTATTATTCCAAAATTTTTGAAAATCGAAAATTTTCGTAAATAATCGAATTATTCGTTTAATTTTAGAATTATTAGCAAATATCCTATAAAATGTTTAAAAAATTCGTTTTTAAAAAAAAAATCGAATTATTTAATACAAAATTGAATACTAAATTATTCGATTAAAAATTTATGAATTGAATTGGAATATTTCATTATTCGATTCGATTTTTTTGGAGACCTATAATGAACTATATAAGTTCTTCATAATGACCGGAGACTATTATATTAAGCAATTATCTTAATTGGCAAACAACTAATTGCTATTTTATTAATAAAAATGTGATGAGGTCAGTTAATGTATTTTATTTATTGTTATTAATAAAATACATGACCAATTTAACGCGTTTGTCGTTACTAAAATTTATTGATTATTAAATATTTAAAAAATCTTCAAATTATGATGACTAATTTATGATAATTTTTTTAAAATAAACTATTGAAACCCTTATCAATTATAAAATATTCTAATAAGATTTAGTTGTTTTTATTTAACGATAATGTTAATTTATAGCATCAGAATATTAATGTAAAAATTAGTATTAATCAAAATAATCCCATTTTCAATTGCCAGTTAATCCTATTAATAATTTTATAAAAGATATTTTGTTGCATATTTATATATCGATAAAAAACAATTAAATTTGAATTATCACAAAAAACCTTCTGCAAATTTTCGAGATAATAAAGATGACCTAATTTCTTCTTTAAAGCATTTTCTCCGCTCCCCAATGAAGCTTGTAATTCCTCCATCAATACATCGAGTTCGTATGGACTTACAACATTTAAAGGCTTCTTGCTATCTTTAAACAATGTTTTATCATTCAGTAATGTTTCATCTAATTGAAAACGAGTAATAGCTATTTCAAGTTCATCTAGAGCTGCTATTCTATGTCTTAGTGCTATCAAAAGTTCGTGCAGAATCTTCAAAAATATAATTAAGTATGATGAAAATAGTAATGATATCAATGGAGATTTAATTTTTTCTTTCTTATATTTTTAGTTAGAAAACCTTATAATTTCTACCATTTTAATGTTGCTCATCTCTCAAAAAATAAAGAACACTTTATCGTCACCCTTCAAAAGGTAATAAAAAAAACTGATAATAATAATTGGGCACTCAATAAACCTTATATTCTCTCTTCACTAGTTCGAACCATTTTAAATGAGAAGAAGAAATTTTATCGCGGCCCCCTTCTTCATTGCCGCCGAGCTTCGCGTGATATGGGGCCATTATTTTTAGAGCTCTTTCAAGGTGGCTCTCTTTCCATACTCCCTTGCTAAGCTTTTTTTGCCGGTCATCTTCATTTTCTGAACTGCTGGTATTATCAATTTCTGTCGTGCCAGAAAAGGATGATGTGGATAAAAATAATTGGGATTCGTATTGTGAAAAATTTTCTTCTAAAAGGCAATACTCGCAACTATTTTTTATTTTTTTAAATAAAGAATATAATAGAGAATATCGTATGTAATTGGAAAATTTTTTTGGAAGATTTGGAAGTATAAGTGGTAATACTGTATTGTATGGATAAATCATCAACAAAAAATAATACTATATCATACTGACCAGCAGAGTTGTTAAAAGATTTTTAAATGGATCTAGATACAGGTACAAATACATTATAGTCTAAAAATTATCTAGATACAGCTTCTAAAAAGTTATCTAGATACAGATACAATTTAAAATGTATCTAGGTACAGATACATTTTTTATTATACTCTTAGATAAGGTTTGAATAAACCTAAATTAGGATTCTATTGTGAAATGATCTAAAAAATTTATTGACTCGATATCACATTTATCAAAATATAACTAAAATAATGATTTTTAGATATTAATATAATATATGAATAATATAAATAATTATTATATATCATTAATAAAATAATATAATATATGATTATAAATAATTATTAGATTTCAGTAATAAAATATTTTCAAAATTTTGGTCATTAAGACATCCTCGTTTATCTGTAAAGACATTTTTAGTTATACTAAAAAGTCTTTCAACAGGGGCGCTGGAAGGGATTGTGGTGTTATATTTAATGAATAACATTTTTATATCAGGATATTGTTTAAAAATACTAAAATCTCGGCATTCATTTTTGAAAAAACTATTTAAAATTTGTTGATTATCAGAATTTAAATCATTAACAATCATATCTACTGCTGTGGGATACTGAAAAAAATAGGATATTAAATTATTAGTTTTTTTTTCACAGGTTAATTTGCACTCATTTGAAGACTTTGATAATTCCTCAACTAATCTTTGTATTAATTGTTTTTTTTATTAAAATTTTCATCCATTTGCAACCATGTCTAATCTAGTTTAAAAAAAGGATGAAGCATAGTTGCCAAAATATTTTCATCTTCAAAAATTGTCCCAATAAACCTAGAATTATTAAATATTGATTAATTTATTATTAGTTTACCTATCTTCAATCCCTTTAAGTAAGGCATTTAAGAGTGGTAAACAAAATTTCAGGTTCATTTGTTTAAAATTTTTCAATTTAATAATGAGCTGGGAAATAGTTGCACAGTAACAAGCTGTGAACATATATTTATCTCCCTGCAGGATATCAAGTGAACTTGCTACCGGCTTCATTAGCTAATTTAAAATAATGCTGTATATACAAATTTTATTTATAACTAAACAATATTCATGAATAAAATCACATTCATTAAATAAAAATCTAGGTAATTTTATTCCATCGCAAATCTTGTCCAATTTTTTAAATTTAGTCTTAATAATTTCTGACATTAATTGTAAAGCATTATAAGTGGAGTTCCATCTATTTATATTGGGACATATAAAATATCGGCCAATATTGTTTTTTATAATCTCAGCTGAATTTTGAGATTTATTTTGTCTATTCCATATATTTTGGCATTTAGACAATGTTGTGCTATATATCTAAGGAATAAAATATTAAATATTATAATTAAAATTATAGTTTTACCCTCTGATATTGTTTACACTGTAAGGCTCTACAGTGGCAACAAGATTCAATGTGTGACTGACACAACATTGATGATTAGGTAAAATATATGATTCTGATATTTCAAAATCCTGAGCAGTAGTATAAAGACCTGATATTGATATTGGTGCAACTGTTTCTTCATCTTCCAGATCATCAATGGATTCACTAATATTTTCAATTGGCTTATAAAATATACCTAAATTATTTGATAAAGTTTTTGGCATTATCAGTAATGGTCTTTGAGATTTTATTTTGTATGCAATAATCCTTTGCTATATCTTATAAATTTTTTGCTATTTTATCATATGAATGACTACCAGTCATTCTTTTACAAGCCAACGCTACATTTTTTCTTTCCAAACTTTTTGGATCTATATAGTGTGCAGTGACTCCTATGTATGAACTAAAAATTAACATTAATTAAAACTGCTCAAATAATTTGTTTGTAATTAAATTATTATACAAATTTAAATGTTTACCTGCGATAGGCACTCCAACAATCTGCTGTTGTGCATATTAACGATGGTTCTATTAGACTTTTAATAATTTCTTTCTTTTCATTCTCCCATTTTTGGGAAATTCTAGCAACCACTGTCTGTCTGCAAATTATATTTTTTTGTGGTGCTAATGTTTTGATCATTTTTATAAATGATGGATTTTCAACAACTGAAAATGGCTGAATGCTATTAATAATAAAATCGGTTATTAAATCATCTAAAATGGCTTGGGTTAAAATCTTAGGTCTCTTGGAAAAGAAATCAATGGACGATGAGCCTAGTCCAATATTTTCCTTAATACATTTTTTCTCCTTCCCCTTTTTTATTTGGATTAGGAGTGTTTGATGTTTTCTCTTAAAATTTAAAATTGTAAACATATATTTAGTATTTATACCCTTAAATGCTTTACAATGTTACAAGTTGAGCTAATGCTAACAGAAATTTGTATATTTTTTGGTAAACATGGCAAACATTTTACTAACATAGATTTGTTTTCTTTATTATGAGATATTATTTTAAAATATGGTCTATAAATTGGCCATGGAATGTCATCATATTCGTCGTTCAATGTTAATCTGAAAAATTAATATAATAGAATAAAATACCAATTCCATTGCAATTAAAAATGGCAAATTCCTTGAGATGGATTGTAATATCAGAATTTTCTTGTTATTGATAACTCGGACATAATATTTAATTAATATTTATATATTCTTTTTTATATACAAGTTTTAATATTTTACATATATATATAATTTTTTAATATATATTAATATTAAGTTATATGCTCATATGAAATAAAATAATTTTTACATTCAAGTATATTTATTTATAATATAAAAAAGCGTTAAATAAAAGTATATCAAAATGTATCTTAAAAGTATCTAAAAATAGATACAGATACCTCTAAAATATTATCTAGATACAGATATTTAATCAAAAATCTATCTAGATACAGATACCATATTTTTATATCTAGATACTTTAACAACTCTGCTGACCAGGCAAATTTTTTTTTATTTAATCATCTTTATTTCAGATTCTATGAACCTTAAATCTCAATATTGATAGCAATCATAAAGACTTACACTAAAGAATTTAAACTTAAAATCAGCTACCACCCACCTTTACAGTAATTAACTTATACTGCAGTTCTTGGCATAGGCTCTTTTTCTGCTCCGCTCTTTTTCTTAAAGCCTATGGAAATCTGTAACATTTTTCGAAATGTTGCGCGTACAAGTACGTGCGGCTTGCCCAAAAACGTGTAGAGGACTCTTCATATTTTTTAACTTTACACCCCAATTAACTTATGTTACAATTAGATGAAAATGAGGAAAACCTAGCGTAGCTCTGTTGCTTATTCAACGTCAGAGGGCATATGCGCTATATATCATGGATCACGGAAATAATATAATATATTTTTTTGAGGGGATATTGAGGTTAAATCATTTAGCAGCCCATATTATAAATCATTCCACAAAATAAATTTAAATATAAAACAATAAAAGCCATGAAATAAAAAATATGTAATCAATTAAATAATTTTGCCATAACAGATTGGTATAATTTAGAGATCTGCAAATCACGGCCTGGCCCCCCAAACGGATTTCGGACCAGCTCTATTTTAAAATATAATTTTGGTTCAGGCTAGGTCGGGCCAAATTTAATTTCAGGCCGTTAGCTTAAATTTTTATAAATTCTTGCAAGAAACAAGGCGCGAATATTTTTTATTTGTGAATATTTTTATATAATCAAAAAAAAATTAAATCTTTCTCTTAGATAAATTCGGGCCGGTGTAGGATTGTAAAATCAATACCCATTGTAGCTTCAATACGGTATTGATATTATCACAGTAGAATCAATACCGTATTGATTTTTAAGAGATGTTTTCATCGCTTCAAATTGGCGGCCATTAAAATTGTAAAATATTTATTCATTATATATTTTTTCTTTGTTTCAAATATATTGGCGGCCATTAAAATTGTAAAATATTTATTATTATATATTTTTTCATAGCTTCAAAAATATTGGCGGCCATTTTCAATATGTAAAAAAATTATTTAAATAAATATAAAAATGATTTTCTATTCTTTTATATAATTTTTTCAGGGAATTTATTTATTTTACAATTCTTGATATCCAATATAATTTTTATTTGTAATAATTTTCTTCTTATGGTTAAAATTATATTGTTTATTCAACTTCATCCTGCAAAATTTTTTAAATAAATACAAATGTATATAAGTTTTCTTCTTTTATCATAGTATTATTGAGATCTCAAGCCTTAAAATTTAGACAAAAGCTTAAGCTAATAACAGACAAAAAGGTTTCTATTACATCAAAGGATCCCAATCAATATCTATCTCTGATTATGTTTTAATCATTTCCTGTTAACTTCTTAAAATCGTCATTTTATTTTTTAGATATCTATAAAATTTTGTATGGTTAATCTATAAAATTTTGTGATGTGCTCTAGAAACATAGCAAGACACCAATAGCAATATTAACACGTCCAGATCTTTATACATAAGTGTTGATTTAAAGTTTTATAAATGATATTATGAATTCAAATAAATTGAATGTACCTTTTTGATTGAATGAGAATCAATAAAATTTTGAGATGTGCTAATATTTAAATGTCGATTCAAGATTTGTAAATTATATTTTAGATTTTATTCGTAAAAGTTGAGGTTCGGTCATAAATTATCAATATGGTATTGATTTTAGATGGTATTGATTTTACAATACTACACCGGGTCGCCGTCGCCAAATAATTCTTATTTTGGGTTTGGCTTTTCGAGACAAATAAAAAATTTCTTTGTCCGGGATGGCGGGCTAGACAATTTTTTAAAAAAATTTAAGGCGGGGCTTGAAAAATTAGGCCCGATGCCAATCACTAGTATAAATAGGATATTTTATTTTAAAAAAGCCCTCAATGAAAAATTGTAATACAAATAAAATGATATAACAAAAAATACATTAATTTTTTTTACATTTTAAATTTTTTGCGTTTTTTAATACCACCACTCAGCTCAAAAGAACTCATTTTCGATTTAGTTCCAGTTGTTTCGATCGAATCGATATCTTCCGCAGGCAATCGGAGATGGCATTCCGTTGCAGTATTAATATCACATTTGTTTGGATATCTATCTTTGAGTGATAATAATCTAGTCAATAAATGCTGGCGAGTAGAGCATAGTTTCTGGAGAGCGTGTAACATTATGTACCGATAAGTTTTCAATGAAAGTTGATTTTCGCTACAAGTTTTCAAAAACAAATATAAACATTATGTAAGAAAATGGTTTAAGTAGATGATTTAAGAAAGCTATGCCCAAAACTATAATTTTGATAATTTTGAACTTTCACAATCTAAAAATTTAAACAAAAATCTAATGTTAAATTTTTGAAATTTTCTAGAAAATTTGTTTTGTAAATGTTTTTTATTTTTCGATTTAAATTTTATGCACTCTAACTCAATAATCAGATAAATGAAATGTGAATTTATGGTGTAAGATTGTGTCCAAACTTTGTTTCAAAAATTTAAAACTCAAAGAAAGACTAACTTTAAGGTTATGAAAAATTATATTAAAAAAGATTTTTTGAATTAAATCATTTTTTTAATGTTAATTATTTTTTAAAAAATAACTTTTTTAAAGGAATAAGGATGCACATGTAATATTTCGAAAATCTTGATTAAAATTTATGAAATAAATAACTACTCTTCATAAATAAGATCCAAGCAGTAGGAACGATTCTGAAACAACTTTTCAGTCTTAAATTTGTAGGCTATCTCTTCGTTAAAACTTGAATTGTTTTCATCCACCATAAATTCAAGAAACCAATGAAAAAATTTATCATATCCAGAATTTGTAGTATCAAAAGCTTTGCGATAATCGAACTTAAAATATTGATTCGCGTTTAAACTAAGATGGATGTTATCGAGTCTTGAACTCTTTGCTTTTATCTCGGTTTCAAACTTTTGAAGGTATTCTTCTCTTAATCTATGGTACTGGTTGGTTAAATTTAACAGAAAATAATATACATTAAAATCCAAAAGGGAGAGGGGTCGTTATCGTAGAAAACCTATTTTGAGGAGTGGGACAAAAATAAATTATCAGCTTATTGGGAAAGTCGAATAAGCTATACTATACATAATATCTAGAATATTCTACATGGCCCATATTGGGATGAACAATAAAAAGAATTACTAATACTAACCTCGGAATCCAAAAATTTAACATCCAACAATGGGTCAGGTTTATCAGCCCCTTCTTTTCCTTCATCTGCCAAATTATTTGATATATCCAATTTAGGTTTATCATCATTATCTGTGAAATCATCCCTATCCAGGTTAACAGGTCCATTCAAGCTGTTCAACATATTAAGAGCCTCCTTCAAATTAACGCAAGCATGTATCCTTTGCAAGGCATCGGTTTTTAATTTATCTCCGTATAAGCGACAGGAAGTAAAAACTTTGGAATACGTCGTAACGGCTGAGTCGTAATTGCCTTTGATCATTTCTATGCCGCTAAAACCTATGAAATTAAGGAATAATTAAGACATACAATATATATATATATTGAATTTAGATATTTTATGTATATTTTTTTAAATTAATTTTTTTGTATAAATAACAATTTAAAAAATAAACAATTATAACACTAAATATTTAAAGCTACAAATGCAGATTGACGGATAAAACTATTTGTGTAAAAATATTAAGTTTATTATATTATGTTTATTTTCTATTTTATTTTTGTAACGAACAGAGCTATGTAAAATGTTACACGGTACCAATACTTTGACAAATTAAAGCGTCATTTATTTTAAAATATTGTAAAAAATTTAATTTTTATTATCAAATTCAAGAGATATATAAATACATGTTAAAAAAAACTTATATGCCTATAAAAAATCTAAATAAATATACAGGTACCGTTTAAAGATGATATGATGGATCTGTGAATTTCTTGGCATTCTACTCTAGACTTCTTAATCAGCGATTCCAAGATATTTCCCATTGTCATAATTCTGTATCGATTTTTAATATTTATTTTTCTTTAACATTAATTTTAAAGGAAAGACAATTCCGAAGATATCTAGATGTCTAACACAGTTTTGTTAGATATCATTTTGAATAAACACTATATAGCCCTAGAAATTCTAATCATTATTCGTATATAGTACTTAATCTTATCTAATCTAGGGCTGGCGAAAGTGGTCATTTTTAAAAAAAGATATCAATTTTTTTGATCCAATCCCGATTTTTTTATAAATTCTATTTTATAAAATGTGCTATAGATAAAAATATATCATCAAGGTCAGTCATTAATCAAACCAGAGTTGTTAAAGTATACTTTTAAATGGATCTAGATACAGATACATCGTCTAAAATGTTCTAGATCCAGATACATCGTCTAAAAATTTATCTTGATAGATACAATTTTTATTATACTCTTATATAAGCTTTGAATAAACCTAATAGGATTTTATCGTGAAAATGCATGAAATGAGCTTAAAATTTATTGACTCGATATCACATTTAACAAAATATAACTAAAATAATGATTTTTAGTTTTTAATATAATCACATAATATATGATTAAATGATTATAAATAATTATTAGATTTCAGTAATAAAATATTTTCAAAATTTTGGTCATTAAGGCATCCTCATTTATCTGAAAAGACATTTTTAGCTATATTAAGTCTTTCTACCAGGGCCCTTGAAAGGATTGGGGTGTTATATTTTATGAATAACAATTTTATATCATGATATTCTCTTAAAATACTGGTTACGGTTCAGTATATAAAAAATTATAATGGTTTATTTTTCTGGATGTAATATTGAGTTAGTCGTTTTTAAAAATCAATAAGTAAAAATACTATGTATCTTTAGGTTGAGCCAAATAAAGTCAGACTCATTTAGAGATTGTTAAAACTAAATTATTTATAACAACGAACAAATTTTAAGTTGAGATTATCCAAATGTTTTTTAAAAAAAAGGCTAAGGACCAATATATATTTTTATTTAATAATTTTATATATTTTTACATATTTTTATATAGTTAATATTTTAGTGTTTTATCATTTTTTTGTAAATTATACCAATATCAATATTATCAAAATAAAATTTTAAAAAATAAAACAAATAACAATGGCAATATTTTGAAGTTTTGGAAGCAGGAAAATTTATTTCCTTTTTTGAGAAAATTAGAGAGTAAAATTTTGTCAGCCCTGGCAAATTCGGCTTCTAGTGAAAGGTTATTTTCTGTAGCCAATTGCCTATTAGAGGAAAGGCGTACACAATTGAAATAAAAAAAATAGACATTCTTCTTTTTCTAAGTAAAAATTTGGATTTATATTATGTATTTATTTTTTGTTATTATGGATTATGGAATTAAAGAAATAAATTCAAAAAAGTGTAAAAAATTATAGCATTAAAATTTTGAAAAATATAAAAACACCGTGAATTTTCGGGCGTAAAACAAAATATTGCCTTCGAGTATTTAATGATATAAAGCATAAAAGTAATACATATTAAATATCTCTAAAAAATAAAATTTTCTGGTGCCAGCCAGGCGGCAAAAAACTATAATTTAATTGTTTTTTTAAAAAAAAAGATTCCGAATCCCCTTAAATATTCTTTTAAAATTTTTTTATTTTTGTTATAAATATCTGAACCGTTACAGAACCGATAAAATTATTTTTTGAAGGAGTAAAAAGAACCTTTACAAAAAAGGGTTAAACCGGTTCAGTTTTTATATTTTAGAAATAAAAAATAATTTGAATATCCAGAATTATATAAACGTGCTCTTATAATACTGGCGGTTCCCGCAACACAAGTTTCTGTAGAAAGGGCTTTTTGTGTTATCGTCACAACGAACAAAAAGGAATCCATTTATACTTGAAAATATATTACTTATAAGTTCAAATAATATATTTAAAAATGAGTTATTTTGAATCTTATATATTTTTTTTATATATAATTCATAGATGCTTATAATAAAAATAAATTAGAAGATGGTGTTGCTTCAATAAAAAAAAATTTCTAACCGTAATAAATGTTTATAATTAGATAAACCGAACGGAACCTTTATATAAATTTCTTCTCAAGAACCGTAACCAAACTAAACCGTTATAAATAACAATTCGGGTCCCTGCTTAAATGTTCAACGAAATGCCATATTGCATTGAATATATTCATTTAATATTTTTCATATAAATTAGAATTAATTTTTATAAACTACTTCAGAATTGATCTAAGTATTAACTAAATATTAAATTAAATGATCAGTAATACAAAATCATTTATAAAGAATATAAATTTAGCAATTAATTAAAACTTATAAGCAAAATAAGGTGTAATAAAAATGATTATAATTTTAAAAAAGAACAACTAAAAATTATCAATTATTTAAATCAACGCAAAAAAGAGAATTGATTAAAATCGTGATTTTTTTTTAAAAAAATCAGATTTAATCATGCTAACCTTAATCAATTTACCGATTTATACCATATATTTCCAATTTTAAAAGTTTAGCTCCAAAAAAGAGATCGAATAGAATTTGTTCTTGTTAAAAAAAAGAAGCAAATTTAGTTTCGCATATCAACCTTAGATATGTGACATTACTAATTAATCATTAACTAAAAAGTCAAATCTCTTGATTTATGCGTACGCTTTGCCCATTAGATAATATTTTAGTAAGCGCACTCATATTATAGACGTTCTAAAAGCGTGCTAACAGTGACAACCAGGGCCAAGTCAAATTTTAATGATATATATATTTAAATCAATAAAAATTAGATGGAAAATAATATTATGACCAATAAACATTTATTGTAACTCATATTTTCAATTTGCCTCTGAAATAATTTAGAAAAATAGGATCTAAAAAAGGGGGTATTATTTAAAAAATTTGGGTTGGGCTTAATTTTAAAATCCCGATAAGTTTGGACTTAAAAATTTAAAAATCTTAGCCAGGCCGATTATTATTTTTTAAAAACTGAAATTATACCAATTAATCAGTTGAAAAATCATATAATGAAGCGTTTAATATTTAATTTACTGCTCATATCTTCAATTTCCCGTTTAAATAATTTGCAAAATACAACCTAATTTAAAATAACAATTTTAAAAATTTCAGGTCGAGCTGAAAAAGATTTTTAAAAAAATCCGGGTCGAACCAAAATTTTTTTTAAAAAAGAGGCCGGTCCATGTTGAAAAGTTAATTTTTTTTAACCAGACATGGAATTTCAATCCGCAGTTCTCTAGTATAAAGTATTAAAATGATAATATTCAAAAAGGAATGAAACCAACTTTTTGTATTGATAACTATCGTCTTCCATTACTATGCTGTGAGTGTTATCACTTTTCCGACCAATTCTCCTGGATCTTTTTCCAATGCGTTTCATCCTGGTTTGACGGTTGCTTTTGTTTATTACAATTTGGGGATGACAACATGATTGTCTTAACTTAATCAAGGGATCCATAATCTTACTAATTATCGAATGATCTAACTTTCCCAGCATAAAGTTTTCTGGCAATTTATCATGGGTTATTATATCGTTTCTAACTTCGAAAATGTCGTTCACCGTGTTAACTTGTATTAAGTTATAAATATTAAAAAAATTTTACTCTAAAATTTAAATTGAATAGAATATACTTCTTTTATTTTGTATTTGAATTGTACCTTTACTTTTTTGGTTCATTTAAATCAGAGACGCGCAAAAATGGTACGAATTTTTTAAAAAATTCAAATATGGACAGGCCGATTTTTAAATGCTAATATAATGGAGCATTTAATATTTATTTACTGTTCATATTTTAAATTACCCTTGAAACAATAAGCTAAATACAGCCAAAATTATTCAAAATTTTAATAAAATCTGGGCTTTCTGTAAAATTATCAAAAATAATAATTTGGGCTGGGCCAACAAATTTAAAAAATCTGATCTGGGCCTAAAATTTTGACCTTTGCAGGAAACGAGTCAGCACTATATTTGGTGATTTACGTCATTCTGCCAATCATAAGGAGCTAATATAATACACATGCCCAAATTTACTTAGGATAGCAAAATTTTTCTACTTAAATTAAAAAACAATGGCATTGGTTAAATTTTATTCAAAATTTATTATTATATAACTAGGAATTATTTCAATATGAATTAAATTATAAATAATAGATTGTTGTAATATTTAGATGAAAACGAGAAATGTCTTATTCAAATTAGACGATTTATGATGGGCGTATATTAATTTTTTAAATGTACACACTGTGCCTGGCCTGAAAATTTTTTTTAAAAAAATATCCAGGCCGGGCCGTTTATTTTAAAACCAAATATTTGAAATCGCCATTATAGCTATAAAAATCAAAAATAAATAAAATATATTTTGAAAAAATCCGGGCCGGGCCTGGTCTGAAATTTTTTTAAAAAAACCCGGGCCAGGTTGAAAAAAAATTTTGAAAAAAAATTTTGAAAAAAAATCCCGGCTGGGCCGTTCAAATGATACCTCTGCAGGTCTCGGATAAATAATGTATTTTAAAGAACTCAACCGCTCTTTTGAAATATTATCTATATAATAAGCAAGATTGAGGTAACAATTGGAGAATAGATTGAAATAGAAAGAACTGAAAATAATAAACACATAAAAATATGAATAAATAATTTTACTATCACTTTATATATGCTCCAACATAATTATAAGGCAAAAAAATTAAAAGGCAAAAGGTTAAAGCTAAAATAAAAATTAAAAATGATTTACAAAAGCTGAAAGTATTATTTTCACAAAATCTCAATTATATATCTTCCCTTTAATCCTCATTTACATAGTCAATAATATTAACCCATGTACCCAGGTCGGGCTTAGGGCCGGGTCTGCTGGTCTCTAATATTTATATTTAAATAAAAAGCGTCTGTTTTTTTTTAAAAAAGAAATGATAATATCTCAATTTGAATCGGATAATTCATATCATATATGAAAATAAGCAGATTCATTATCACATTTAATATATAAATCAATTAAGAGGACCAAAGAAAAATAAACCTAGTAGATAGAATGCTTAAAACTGTAAAAAAAATATACAAGTTTTGGATATCAATGTTTACAAGGTAAATATATAAATTCATATGTTTTTCAACGCTTGGCGCCAGGCCAAAGAGAAACCTTTCCTCACAACAAAAAATAAAATTTACATGGGGACCGATCAAACATTGGAAATTGAAACAATGGCAGATTGTCATTTGGGACCATGAAAATACTTTAAGTCAAGTAGCAAGGAGAAGGCGTTTCCTTGATTTCCAAAAAAGCATGTTAAATATCCTATACCTATAATGATCTGATGGTGCAGCACTCACAGAGAATTGGGAATATCGAAATGTTTAGATATTAAATTATATTCCTTTAGCCATTTCTAAAAATAACTTCAAAGCGGGTTGTGAGGCATGTTTCCAGTAATTCCAGAAGCCATTTAATCATTAATAAAAATCAAAGAAAGAAAGAAGTTTTTTAACAATTAAATGCCGATTTTTTATTAATTCTACAAATTTGTTTGTAAATAAAAAAAATTATTGAAAACATGCCTCAAAAAACATTTATTTTGGAAATGGCATTAGAAACCTATAGTAATTTTATATTTCAAAGCGAAAACGACTAAAAAAATGAGTTAAAAATCATATAATTAATGTTTTAGTGATAATCGTCAAGTCCGGACAAAAATCATAATATTGAATATGAAGACATATGGTAAATTGTGAAATGAAAAAGAAGTATGGAAAAAGAAAGTTTGAAAGAAATTTGGGAGAAAATGGTAGTTGAGTATTTTTATCAATTCCAGAGAGAATAGAAATTCTTCGGAAATGAATGTTAAAAGTTATTAAAAAAGAAGGTAAAAAAAATTGATTCAAAAGCGTGGTTAATAAACTAATAAGAACTCAACTGCGTTTTCTAAATATCATTTTTTAAATTAAAACTTAATTTAAATATTTTATATTGAAATAATTTCTAGATGCAATTACAATATATAATACATTTTAAATAAAGTTGAACCTATTCACTTATTCTTTAATTTAAAAATTTAATTAGTAGAAAAATCTCGCTATAAAAAATAAATTTGACTCTAGCTAATTTAAAATCGCCAAAAAATTTAGTTAGGCAATGATATTTTTTTTGAGGTTTGTTCATTTAATTTAATTTTATACCATTTTTTTCGTAGTAATCTTTAAGCGTTTTAAGCGTGGTGCCGCTGCATTCTAAATATTGTCTGTGGTAAAAGTGCTGTTCAACTGGAGAAAATGTCAACAATTCTACATCTTCATGTTGAGGTGGCAAACCAATCTGTCATTATTAATTTGATTTCTTAAAATGAGTCTTTAAAAATAGTTAACGAGAAAACAAATGTAGGAAAAATTAGTCCATCCCTGTAAAAAAAACTTTTTTTGGCATAATATTAACTATAAAACAAGTTTTTTTAAAAAAAGAATATAAAATTTATATACAACGCGCAATAAAAATTGAAAATATAGTGACAATTTCTTGCCAAACCTGGTCCATAACATCGGATTTAAAAGTTCGCCATAAGATACGAGAAAATAACTTTAAAAAAGTATCCTGCCCATCAGGAGTTCCATCCCAAAATCTTTTTATCACACCCTCTTCCCAAATAGTTCTATCACTGTATGGCTGAATATCCAAGAACGTTATCAGTCCGTAAAGATCTTAATTGAATATAAATGTTTTTTGTAAATCCTAAATTGTTAAAATTAAAGGAAATATACTAAGCGAATATGATTAGACAATCAGACAGCAATGCCAAGATTCAAAATGAGTAGTATATTGGGGCATAGCAATCAATATTCTAGAGATTTTCAAATTGTTACTAGTCGGTGTGTGGCCTGGTTCGCGGGCAGGGCTAAATAATTTTTGTGCCGGGCCGGAAAAATGAAGTTTTTAAAATTGGTAATTAAGAAAATTTTTGTCATTTTTCTTCATAAAAATTTTTATGGCCTGGCCGGACAATTTGTTTAAAATTATCTTCGTCGAGTAAAACTAATTATAAATATGTCAATATTTAAACTAGATTCTGAAAAGTTTCCTACCTTTTTATTGCATTTTTTGGAGGCAGTTAACTCCCATAATTTTTTAAAAAATGCAATATTATTTGAAAAGAAGTTCACACTAATATTTAATTTTTTTATAATTATTGTATATTTTTAAATATATCTTTATTATAAAAATATGAAATTTAAGGCAATTGGCGCTATATATATAAATCATATACCATAATAAATGTCGAAAATATCAAAGCTTAATATAGGAATTTGAGTGTTATAACAGTTTAAAAATGGGGGTAAGCTATGACCTCAACCAGTCACGTTATTTTTCCCACCATATCAGTCAGGGGTTAAAATACTATGGAGACTGCAATATATCCGTAATTATTTGGCGTTAATAAAAAAAAGAGGCGTGTCACAAAATTTATAACATATTTAAAGTCAATTTTTTTATATGTTAGCTAAAAAGTGTAATTAATTATATCCTATTAGATTTTTAAAAAAACCTTCGATATCTTTTTGAATTGGCGTTCCAGTTATACACCATTTGTGCCAAGCTTTCAATTGGCTGACCATCTTTGCTGTTTTGGAAACCTTATTTTCAATCATTTGGGCTTCATCCAGACATATACGCCACCAATAAATGCATGTTAATGGGCTAGGGGCTGGGAAAAATTTCTTGGGAGAGCGGAATTTGGTGTAACACGATCTAAATAAAATGTAAATGATTATTATTTCGAATATTACCCAAATATATTAATTAAATTGATCAAGTGAGTATGTCTGTCATAGGTCAACCAAACCATTTTTTTAAAGGCTTTTCCGATTAGAGGTTTGCAATAGGAAGTATTTTAAACCAGCCAAACCTAGCCCATTTAACGGCGAGTTAATAAATTAAACGGATGGGCATTATTAAGATTTAAATGAAAACCGTAAATTGTTTCATTTTATAATGACTCAAGTTCATGTCTGCTTTGTATTTCTAAATTAAATTGAATAAGCCAAAAAAATATTATATAGAATAAATATATTATTCAGCAATGGCTAAAAAATTATGCGCGCATCATTTAAGTTTTGAATTTTTTTTTTTCTATAGTCAAAAGGATTTAGTCACATATATTATTAAATAATCTATTTTTGACTGCATAAGTCCATTTTTAATATTCGTTTCCTATAAGGCTACGTGCCAACCTGAATACATATATTTTTTTAATTAGTAAATAGAGGTGGGCGCGGGCGTAATTTTTTATTTGCAATCCGCCCACTCACTAAAGGCAAAATTTTTATCACGCCCAAAAAAATTAATAATTATTTTTAAAAATATTATATATTACTATTACAAGAAATAAAATCGTCCTTATATATCTTTGCAGTAATTAAGAATCAACTTATCAAGTCACATTTATAAATTAAAATCTTTATTTTAAAGATGAAAAATGCCAATAATCGTTATATTTTAGTTACGGTCGTCTTTCCACTAGAAAACGATTATTAGCTAATGGCTATAGAAAATAATCGTTCACAGGAAATCGAATTAACTAGGGGCTGATAAAATTTTACCGGCAAAAGATTCAAAATTGACAAAATTAAAAAACTTTAATAAAAATAATGAAATAAGTTTTTCTATAAAATAAAAAGATGTCAGAAATTTTAAAAAATTCCAATAGTTTATTCTATTTTTTTTTGTTAAATTGAAAATTATTGAATTTTTTTTAAAAAAATCTCGTTTTGAATATAGCTTCTTAACTTGTTATAGAATATGTAAGTAAGGAGCTAGGGATTTTAAGATAATACTTTTAAAATTTTTTAATCACGCCCGATAAAGCTTATTACCGATCTTCAAAATTTATTCACTCTCAGCGTGACATACCATGATCCGATGGACGAAGATTTTCACGGACTGCGCCTACCCCTATTAGTAAATTACCTAAACTTTTGATCGAATAAAATAATGTATGTTAACAACTTTATTTTGATAGGAGTAAAAATGAAAGCTTCCCATTACATCTAAATTTTAATGTAGTAAATGGCAAACAGGTAATTAAGCCAAAGCATTTGTTTCAAATCAAGTTTAGGCTTAGCTTAAAATTAAAATAAATGAAAATTAAAGTGAATTTACAATAATTAACAAATTTTTAAAAAAAATTAACGATTTTGAACGGCTTAAAGATATTCCCTTTTAAATAATTGTTCTGTTGCTATTCAGGAAATTATAATTTTTAAACGGTTGGGTTGGAGGCTAACTCCCTAATATTAATAATAAACGATTACTACTTATATCAAGGCTTGAAATTTTTCAAATCGCGCAAGGCAACTTAATTTAGACCTTTGCAGATTTCTGACTTATGTGTAAATAGATTCAAACGCCAAAATGTAAAAAAATAAATTAAGGTCATAATCATAAGAAATGCTGACGCATTTATATGAATTTGGTCATCTTTCATGTATTTAACATAGTAGGACATCTAGCAATAAAATCCTTTCTTTCTTTTTGGACGTTAAAATAATTAATAAATTGTTTTAAATGAATTTATCGTTTAATTATTAGTTACGAGTTAGCATGAGGCAGATTAGCGTGAGATAACTCTTTCATCAGGATTTCATAAGTCGTAATAATTATATCTTGTTTGGCTAAAATTTCCGGATAAGTAAAACCACTTTGAACCCCCTTATAAAACTATAAATAATTTGTATAAAAAAGAAATAATTAAAAATACTAGTATCTATTAATATTATTGTTATAATAAACTTTGCCTTTTGCCTCTTAAAAAAAATTTTTTTCCAACATTTATTTGTTAAAGGGCTAAATTTTTAATATAATCCTCACAGATAAGGTTAAATTATTATTTTTTAATTTTCTATCGCTTTAATAATATTGGGTGTACAGTATGTCCCATTTGCAAAAATCAAAAACATTTGACTCAAATATCTTAAAAAAATTTGTAAATATTTTATAACAGGTTCCATCATATTATATTAGAAACCTGCAGGCTTGATCGGGTTTTCCATAAACCAAAGCTCGAGTCAAAAAATAAAAGGAAGGGGGATAGAGAGGGCGTGAATGTGTAATAGAGTTAGCAAAAAATAATTATTCTATTTTAAAAAATTGAATCTTTACAAATTTAATTTGCGATTTTTAATTAAATAACTTATATGGATTTCGATTGCAAAATATCACCATTTTTATAATTCAGAATAATATTTACCTAAAAAGGTTTAATGTAATGGAGACTTGATAAAAGAAATTGTTGAAAAAATAGACATTGAATAAAAATCATGATCAAATTTGATATTTTGTAAAAAGACTAAACAATGGCACATCATTTACTTCTAAACAAGAAATGTTTTAAATATATTAATCAATCAAAATTCCAAATTAGATCTGACCTATTTGGTAAAATTTTATGTTTTCAGATGAAATAAAATATAAAATTAAATTTATTTAATGGTTCAGAATAGGAACATTTATTCCTGGGATAAAAATAGTTAATTTTCTTTATTATTTACATACTAATCATCATAAGCTTCAATAGAAGGAGTATTTCCATTAGAAATGTGCAAATTTTTTGGCCCAACACATTCTTTCAAATCTGTATCAGGCCCGTGGCCCATTTCTGCCTCAATTTTTAAAAAAATCTTGTAAGAAACACATAATATTTATGTTATTCCCTAATTTTAATGTTTCTACATTTAAGTATTCTGAAAATGAACAGTATTTCCCAACTAAAGGCGAGTATGAATCAAATCATGCATTATAACAAATGTTTAATAATAACCTCAGATAAATTTTAGAATTTTTAAAAAAATCCTTACTAAAATAAACTCCTGGCCACATGCCTGAGGTCAGCCCTACAGGACATAATTCTCTTCATAAATAGTTTTATTATTAAAAACAATTAAATTCAAATAACAATGTCGAGGCCATAGATGTTGATTGTGATTTTTATCTATTATTATCGAAATGCTATTTTTTAATTTTTTAATTTTACAAATTGATAATTTTTTAATGGCTAAAGAAATATAACTATCAGCCATTACATTAACAATAAATAAAAAATTAGAAAAAAATTCTTACTATTACATGAACTTAAAATTAACAATTATTTTTATATATTTTGTCAAAAATTAATCGATTTGGGCTTGATTTTTAAAAGGCTATAATGACATATTTCTAGTTTTAAACATATTTAATATTAAAGGTTTCAATTTTGCAAGTTTAGAACCTCAGTGATATGTTCATTTGATGTGATAGAGCTAGCAAAAAATAACTTTAGTTTGGGGACTTAATTATTGTTTTAGAATTTAAAATGGCAGATGTAGAAAACATTTTTTTTAAAAAAATTAATTTTTAAATATTCTGATTTTAACGTTGTGACTAGAAGTATTCCTTTTTTTAAGTTTAAACTTGGCTTTGATATTTTTCATCTTTAAATTATGACAATTATTCTCACTCTAAAAAATACTAAATGTTAAATTGTTATTTAAAAATGTACTAGGGCTTAGCCAAAAAATTATTTTTACTTTTAAATAAATTTAAGCTTGTGAGTTATGGCAAGGATATTTAATTTAGTCAAATAGGATATTTATATAGTTAATTCTTTTTTCATTTCAATTAAATTTTTTTTACCATAATTTGTAAAGTAGGGTCATTGACATGTTTTTCAAATTCTTTGATCCATTGACCAGATATGGAATTTGGGGTTATAATAAGAGTAGCACCTGACTCATATGTGAAATAATTAACACTACAATGGCAACATAAAACTGGGTTTGGGAAAAGAGTATTACTAGTATTATAACTTAGGCATCTAAATATATAAAATAAATTAGAAATGATTCCAAAATATAATATATTACTTTGAATGTTGAAGTATTCCACATTCTTGACACTTAAAAGTTGAATATTTTGATGACCATTTAGATTTAGTAACACCACAAATGCAAGATACATAAGAACAGTTTTCATATTTTTCTAATCCTATTTTATCATCTTCATTTTCATTGTTAGAAGGTTTTTTGGATAGCAATGTTACTTTATCAATGTACATACTCAAAAATTTTTCATATTCTTTTGAATTCATTATAGTACTATATATCTTATCAAAAATCAAGTTTACATTGTAATTGCCATTTTTATTTAGTTTTCTATGCCCATTATTATTATTTTTCAAATCCATCAAATAAGTTATATAATTCATTTTGCTATTTAACAAAATCAAGGCCAATAATTCTAAAGTTTTCCCTAACCCCATTTCATCAGCTAAAATACCACCATTTAAATTTTCTATAACTACTGGGGCTTTACTCAAGACACTAAAATTATTTTAAATATTTTTATATTATAAAATAATAATCATATACTTTCCATTTTTAGGATTATAATATAGGAACTGATTTTGAGGTAGAACTAGAGATTTATATAGAGGATTAATAGGTAAAGTTCCCTGCTTATCAAAATATGTAAATATATAAGAGTCCAAGTTATCCAATTCCCTATTCAACATCCATAAAGTACTTTCAACTTGATAATTTCTCAAAGTAGATATAAAGGTATTCAAATTTATTAATCTTAATTCCCAGTCTTTCATTTTTTCAAGGCAGTTCTTATATGTACACTGATATTCTTTAATTAATGAGTATATTTTATCAACATTTATTTTATACATTTATTAGATGATATGGCTAAACTTAGTTAATATAATATTTAAAATATTAAATATATAATTACTATTATTTTTAATATATCTAAAAATAGTTAAAATTTTTAGCATAATCAAATTTGTTTAATAATTAATGACTATCTCGAGAGTCATAATATAATTCAATATTCTTTAGGCTCTTGTCCTCCTTTATACCTATCTATAAGGATGTTTACTTAGTAATTAGTATTTACCTTATAATTATCATTCCTAAAAAAACATCATATACATCATTTAGAATATAATCTATAGAAGATAACAATATATTATAAGATTCTGAGTTATATATAGACCCTAACCTATACCCGAGTAATTTGGATTATCATCAGATCATATCAATTTTCTTTTCATGTGGGAGAGATGTCAATAATTAATGCCAATTATAAGTAGAGAAACATATTATTCATTAAGGTTAGTTTGGTTTTTTGGGTGCGGTTTCATCCGGTGGAAAATTTGAAGTGATAGAACGGTAAATATTATTTTATTTTAATCATATTTATTTACAGATTCTATGAACATTATATCTCAATATTGATAGTATTTATAACTTACACTAAATAAATAATGCTTAAAATCAGCAATTACCCACCTTTAAAGTAATTAAATTATACTGTAGTTCTCAGGTATAGGCTCTTTTTTTTGCCCCACTCCTTTTTAATAAGCCTATAGAGGTTTTGTGCCTACAAGTACGTGCGGCTTGCCCACAAACGTGTAGAGGGCTCCTCATATTTTTACTTTTATACCCAAATTAAATTTTTCCAATTAGATGGAAATGAGGAAAACCTAGCGTAGCTCTGTTGAACCTTCAACGCTAGAGGGCAGAAGCGCCTTATATCACGTATTAAGGTTAGTGCTATAAACGTTACTACAAAAATGATACATGTTATTGTTACTCGTAATCTTTTTAAAAAAGAAACGCGCGTTACTGACTATTCAAAAAATTATTAGTTATTTAAAAAATTAAATACTATATACAAAAAAAAATTTTTCTTTTTCTACAATATATAATATTATAAAATTATACAAAAATAATTAATATATTATTCATAACATCTTTTTTTTATCAACTGATTTTCAAAATCTTGATCAGACAAACAAGAGCGTTTAGTGCTCAACACAGCTTTCGCCGTGCTATTGTGCTAAACACACGTTCAATTGGCGCAAATGATAGATAGTTGAATTATATTTAATAAATAAAAATTTTAATACGGGCAATTTATTAAAAATATTTAAAGAATTATCTTTATTTTGAAAAAAGCTTAATAGATTATCTTCACAAGGATCTTCATTCATTTTCTCATCAATAAATATTTATCTTTATCAGAAAATATTCTGGTATGTGTGGATAAAGGAATTAAGTCTGCTCTTTCTTTATCGAGATCTTTTCTCAACTGGAAATAGGTTCTAACATAACATTCTTCCTTTGTTGACCTCTAATTTTAGATGGGTCAATCCAATTCAAATAGTGGGTGACTCATTGCGGATATAAATATATTCATTATATATATGTTTGAATCTATTGAAAATAAAAGATAATCATAATATAAATTGTAAGCAATATTTGAACTATAAACATTTTATTTATGCCTTCCAGGATTGAATTAATACGCGGCTTACAAACTTGAAATTACTAAAAGCCATTTTTTAAAGTTTTAATATTACAAGGCATAAAATCTGGTAATTTTTTTGAGTGGAGTGCTTTTCCCAGGAATTTTTCGTTTCCTTTATCCATTTCGTTGACCTTATTATCATTTTTGTATTCGTGTTTTATTTTAATAATTAAACTATCTTCAAATTTTTGAGAATAAATTTCATGGTCATCGCGAGAATATAACATACTTCCTTCCCCTTTAAAATATTTAACATATCATAATACTTTAGATCCATCATATTTTTCGGCGCAGCTTTTTGGGCTAGAATATATATATCGCTGGATTGTAATGAGAGAATAATTATCGCTTTTTTCTTTTTTTCATCTGTAATATTGTTTGCCGCAAAATGCGCTTCAAGTCTTAGAATATAATTGGTAAAATTTTCTCCGAATTGTTTTGTTAATGTCATCGTTAATAAATATTTTTTTTAGAAGTTTCACAATTATTCACATATTTTTTAAAATATTATTTAGCGAAAGAATCTCTATTATTTTAATAACTTATTGCGGCTACTTTTTTTCAATCCGTTTACCTGGGTTCTTATCATGTCGCCACTGTTAAATTTATTATGTTTAATTTCTAAGTCGCCAAATTTCTAAGTCGAGATTTACTTAATCTTAAATAATGTTATCTTTCCATAATGCTGAATGGATTTTCTTTTTTCAATTTTATTCATATAACATTTTTATTTTTCATTTTCTAAGAAAAAAACAAAATCTTTTTCAAAAAATACAAATTCCAAGAATTGGTCAAAAAAAAATTAATAACAATTCAAAAAAATCGATAAAAGAAAATAAAAAATAATAACAATCTAAAAAATCGATAAAAGAAATAAAAATAATAATATCTCCCTAAGATTTCATAACAGTAATAATCGTTAAAAATAATAAAAAATATTATCTATTTAAAAATAAATTAAGACTGTTGATAGCATCATCTGTTTGTATAAAATAAACAAATAAAATAAACAAACAAAATAAACAAATAAAATAAACAAATAAAATAACGAATAAACACGTATGAGTCATGACGTAGCGATGACATGAAGTAGCGATGACATGAAGTAGCGATGACATGACGTAGCGATGACATGACGTCACGATGACGTAGTGAGGACATCGGAAAATTATAATATAGATAATAGTTATGGTGGGAGTGAGATATCCCAAATGCCTTTTTCTTCCCTCTCTAAAATTGAAAGAGTCGTAGCAATCGGTCCATAACCTATAAAATCTTATATATATACATATCATATTTCTTAATTAGCACTAACCATAAAATATTCATCCATGAACGACTTATCTTTATCTGAAAATCTCTATAATTCAGATTTATCACAAGATTCGTCAAATTTTCAATTCTCCTTAATAAGACTATTAATTTCATGAAGTTATAAAAAAAAGTTCCATCTTGTTATAATCGGTATAATCAGATATCTTATTCTGCACAGTTTTATGATTGCCCTTGTTTATTCTACAATAGCTTTGAAAATATTTTAAAATGGAATCATTACTATCAACACTTGCATTGAGATTTAAAGTGAGTGCTGAACACGAATAATGTGTAGGTAAGTATACATTACTAATTCCTTGTTCATATACTCTAATAAATTTTTAATAAATATAATATAATTTTTTTTTTGAAAACTTTTATATAATTTCTAGCATTTCGGTAATACATTTAGTCACTTTATTCTGTATCTTAATGGTAAAAATTTCAAAGATTATTTTTGCTATATAATCAAATGTGTGTTTTTGGTTTAGTCTTTTACAAGCTAAGCTGGTCTGGTTGTAACTCTCTCAAAAGTGTCTGGGTGTAGCCAGTATACCATCATCCCTAATTAATAACTTTTTTAAAAAACAATATTATTAATCTATAAATTATATATTTTATATATCTATGATATGCTAACAAAGAATCTATAGTTTACAGACAATTTTTGGGTTACATAATAAATCCACTAATTTCTTTGCCATGGTATCATATGCTTTGTTAATTTTTAATACGAGGGTATAATACCTAGATTTAGTGTTGTTAAACGGCTCGATTTGAGTCGATTTTTAAAAACGGCTAACTCAATATTTTATCCAGTAAAATATAAGTCAAGCCTGAAGATTTTGCTCATAGGTGGCACAAATGTCTAGATATCTATTAGCGAGATATAGAGCCTTAGGCAATATTTCTTTGGCTAAAATAGTGAGTTAGCCGTTTTTAAAAATCACATTTTTAGTTGGCTGCAATTTTTTGATAATATTAAAAATTGCAGTGCTTTCTAGTTTCTACAATTGAAAATGGTTGTAATTCTTCAATTATAAAAATTATTTATTCATCAACAGCTGATTGTGGTATTTTTATCCTTGATATAGAAGTATTCTGTATCGTGTTAATTGATTGGCTCCAATTTTTTTTATTACTATTCAAATGTTCAATAATCTCTTTCATTTTTAAAGAATATACAATCTATATTTTTTTAATTAAAATACTATAAATTCCTTAATTTTTTTAAAATAACTTAACTTTTTCAATAATTGAAGATAAATCTTTTAAAAATTCAATTGCATTTTTTAATCCCTCACTAAACTTATTGTAAAACTTTAAAAATTGAAATTATGATAGCGAAACATCATTTTTCAATTTTTTATCTTATCAGAATTCAGAATTATTATTTAAGAAGGAATCAGGAAAAATATCTAAATTCAGTTCTCTAAAACAATAACTTCATAGTTTTTT